TCGTTATGAAAAAGGTTTTCCCTGAAAATTTCAAACTCATATTGAAAAAGTAAATTTAAGGAAGATCAACGATGGAACATTGATTCTAACATCAAAAAAAACATCAAACCTCCTTGAAAATAACAAAATCACTGTATAAATCATGCATTCACCTAGCACCAAAGCTAGGCCTATACTAGGTCTATACACCTGGCTATACTACATCCAAAAATGTAATTAGCTTTAAAAAATGCGTGATTGAGCGTCATTGCGTGATTAATTGTGTTTAGATTGAGTTTAAATGTCAATACGACGGCTGCTGATCGCACCAAATTCGTTTATTATAATGTAAGGCTTGACATGCAACATTGAACGCATTGAAAATTTCCAAAAATAAAAAATATCGGCAACCAGCAGCGTCCATTAGGCTCAAAATTCTTACATTTGGCACCTCAATGAAAAAATGAGACGTAACGCTAAGGACACTCATGCAAACAAACGCGTACATTTCGCAGCAGCGGCCATCAACATCCATTACGTTCAAAGACCTAAAATTTGCCACCTTTATGAAGGCATTAGAAATAATAAATCGCAGAACACTTACACAAACAAATCTGCATAGTAGCAGCCAGCACAACACACAAGCCCCTGAATATCATCCACATTTATGAGAGAATATGGCATTTGTCAAGGTGCATCACCTCCTTGCAGACAAAAATAAACAGCAGCAACAAGCTGCGTTAATTGTGCTCGAAAGCAACAAATTTGTGAATTTTATGAGACCTCAAATAGACGAGCAGGACACTCCTGTGAACAAACATGCACATTGTACAGCAGCAACAGACATCCTGCAACGACACCACTCATGCCAGAGGAGCAGCGATGAGACGCCACCACTCATGCCATGCCAGAGGTGCGGCGACAAGACGCTGCATGAGTGCAGCCATTGAGCTGTACGAGGACTGTTCATTGATCGCACTAAGTCCTCACAAAGAGCAGGCGACGAGTGAAGCGCAGATAAGAAGGCAGGGACTCAGTGCCTAGATTGCCTCGGCTGTTATGTCATCCCTAAGAATAATGTACCACTCAATGCACCAGTCGACCTCTACAACACAGACCAGTCACGGCCAGGTCCTGTTGGCTGCCTATATAGTTCAGTACAAGCGACCGAGCAAGAGTAAAGTGTAAAGGAGCATCTTTATGATTAATTGTAAATTATTTTATTCTTAATATATAATGCAGAATTGTTCAAGCATTTCGCCGCACGTGGGATTCAACAGAATTTAATTCCTGAATTTTTGAACAAGAAATCTCGATTGGAAATAATTATAAGAAAGAAAACATAATGAGAGAAGCCAAAACAAACTTTGAGCCAACGCTCAAGGCAAAAAAATTGTATAGACAACAAACGTAGCAGCTTAGTTAACCTAGCAATACAGGCGTGAGTTTAACTGCTAACCCACATTATATGTCAACACCTGTTACCAAATGAATGTTCTATCACTAGCGTTAAGGCATTTGTTTAGCTGCTAATCCATACTATAATATTTCAACACCTGTTACCAAAAGACATATTCTATCGCGAGCGTTAAGGCGTGTCTTTAGCTGCAAATCCATATCATATTTCAACACCTGTTACCAAAAAGCTGTCACAAAGTCATTTTTCGACGTACAGGGACGATACTTATACCGTTCGATGCGCAAGAAAACAACCTTTAAGATGAGATAAGAAACAGAAAAACTCAAAATTTTCAAATTTTAGCTAGGGCGGTCCCCTTAAGGCTTTATTTATTTTTGGCTAACTCGAAAGAAAGTGATGGACACAGCAGCAGCAGGTAGACGCAGGATCATGTCACTGTCAAGATGCAGCTTGCGACACTTCCTGTACTGTGCTTAAACTTCAATAAAATTATTAGCACAGCAGATGCTCGGTATAGTCATATAGCATAGAAAAAATATCGAGAAACTAATTTGGGGATGATTATGAAAACTGAATGAAATCGTTGATATGAAAATTGGTATATATGGATGATTTTTCAAATTCCCGATTTTTACCTCACGTGATTACTAAATTTTACCTGCTTAATCAAAAAATATGAATGGTTAAGCAATCAAAAGCTAGGCTAATGCTGTTTCATAAATTGCACCCACTTGTCTAGCTGTCTGCGTCTTATCTATCAGTCTCTATAGTGAATGTCTGATGAGCAAACAGACCGCATAATATACTATAATAGCCGAGACCGATGAAAACATTCACTAGTCAACAGGTTACCAATGGATCATATTATTCACCCTCTTCTCATCGAACAGTCTGGGTTTCATCCGTCACTTAGTCGAGATTATCCGAAGAGCAAACGTAACACATAATATCCCATAGAACTTGTAACGTTGAAAACGCATTGATAAAGTGTTGATGATGAAAATTTTATCAGAACGATCATGTCGCATTAAATAAAGTTTGCTATATCAAGTCTTGACGGTCCGGTGCGCGATCCGCTACTCAAGTGCATATTCTACCGTGCCATCCCAGGCACTTTAGTGCCGGATTTACCTTATCTCGATATTCATCATTATATGATCTGTCTATTAAGTATATAACATATATATACGTACCAGCCAGGGCTCGAGACGAGCCATAAACGCGGATACGAAGAAATGGTAATATATATCATATGTTGCCTAATATATATTAAGCAATTTATAACCAAATATCAATAAGCTATAACTAAATAGTAAATTCATCAGCTAACAAGAATACATTTTATAATGAAGTCTTTAACGTCGATGTAGATCGGTAGAACCTTTATTTAGAAAAAAAAAATCGAACAGTCTATTTTAAGGAATCCATACACCAATCTTCTAATTTTGTGAGATTAAATATAGTACATCCCTTCAAAAACGGGTTATTGAAACGTTTTGATTCAAAGCTGAAATTATCTCCAATTCCCATAAAGATGGTATATTTCTTGAAGTCTTAAAGCAACAGCTGATAAGTAATGCCTGCAATGCGGGTTTTGAAGGCTAAATCTTGTACTCAAACTTGACTGGTGATGTTTCTCGAGTAATTATGGTTTTTCGACCTGAAGTGTCTATAGATGAGAATGCAGTCAGACATGCCACGCATATGTGTGACGGAACACAAGTTTTGTGAATTTTTTATTAAAATTGTTTCGCTTCATATCTAACTCGAAGAATGTAACTTTTGTCTGACAATATTTCCTTGGCGGAAATAAGAATCCTCCTTTTAATGTGATATTGTTTAATTATCGATAGCGTTGAGTTACATGCAATCGTTTGCTATGAGTCACTCGTCGTCTGCTGGCCCCGGACATGTTAATATTTATTTCTATGATATTTTATTAGTAAACTGGCTTTTCGCGATTCGGCACGGCTCATACCCGTGTCACTCGCTGTCTGACTTTTCTACGTTTCGAATTCTCGTCACTTGCCAATTCACCGCATTTCGACGCTTGTACCTCTAAGGTTTTAATTCGGTCTCCTGGAGCTGTTGAGTTGTCAGTGGAAAATAATATGTACCTACCTCGACTGAATAAATTGTGCGCCCTTGTATGAAGAATCCAGTACACCACTTAGAAATCACCAGTATACAACGGGAAATTTTTCCTCGTGTTTATTCCTCTTCTCTCCAACGCAAGGGAATTTAGAGCCGGACCAAAACGCGACTCCTTAACGTTAAACTACTAACGAAAATCTTCTGTTTAGTCGGCATACTACTCATAACTATTTCAAATTCGCGGCGGTGCTTCCGGTTACATATGTTACACTAAATATAAACGTTAAAGCTTCTTCTAGACGTATGTAACCTTTGCTGTCTAGAGTGGCCTAGTTCTTTTGATTAATTAATGAATTGTTTGGTTACTCCGTACCTCTGTGAAGCATGTTTCGTTTATCAGGTGCAGTTGTCACAATTTGATCTTTATCTTATCGGCGGTGCCCATTAATACAAAGGCCTTAAGATGACAAAATTTTCTTCGATTACGGGGACAACAAAATTCTGAACCGTCAGGCGGTGATATTAATTAAGCGCCACCTGACTAATAATATAATTAGTTTTACCTGAACCCGAGGAAAATGATTCGTTGTTCAAGTGCGTGTAGGATAAGTAAGACACCATCCGAGTACGTATATTTTGAGGGGTTGGTACATGAGAGTTATATTAGCGATACACACAGTCATGGGCAAAACGTTGACCGTCATGTCGGAGTAGCTCCAACGAAAGTTACATGGCGGCATGCCAGTTATATAGTTGTTGGGGACCTTACTTAGGTTCTCAGCCCTTTTATAGATATACACGAGGTCTTGAGAGGTCGCGTGAGATGTCACGTTATGTTTTCCATGCTAACTCAGGTCTATTCCATCAATCTCGGGTCTATTCCATTTCCCAGCAATCTCTTCCACGTCTAGTGAATATAACACCTCAATTTCAGGTGATCTAATTTTAGAATATAATTATAATGAATAATTTGAGACGTCTGATTGACACCAGACAAAACTCACATGCAGTTTCTTAAATTCCTAATTGAGGGTTATATTTCATCACGTAAGTTCAAAATATACAGAACACAGAAATTCCTTCAGAGCTCATGAATTAACATTGCCCTGATTCAGATGGCACTCAGTGCTCATCTCAACATGATCGATAGTTCCACTTCTTTTAACATACGACTCCATGCATTTTTACTAGAGCGAATAGGTATAAGGCTTATCCATGCCGTAATTACAATATTTTTCCTAGGTGAAACTAACTGCAATTTCCAAAATTTTGAATGAAATAATAAACAAAGCTGAAGCTAAGCTCAGTCTCAATGAAATTTAACATATTTTTAATTTATGCTCGTAAACATCAGACTCACCTCTATCCTGAGTAAGGTTCAGGAAACATCCCATAATTTAAATGTATGCCCGGAAAAATCAGACTCACCTCTATCCTAAGTACGGTGAGGCGTGTGAGGGGAGTGAGGCAGGATATGAACTGGTCCCTGAAGAAACATCAGACTCACCTCTATCCTGAGTACGGTGAGGCGTGTGAGGGGAGTGAGGCAGGATATGAACTGGTCCCTGAAGAACACCCTCACTTGCTGCACCCTCACCCCCGAGCAGCAGTCGTCGCTGAGCAGCAGCTGCAGCAGCCGCAGTGACACCGTGTGCCACACGCGGTACTCGCGCAGCACTCGCTCCTGTTACATGAACATGTAACTCATCTTATTAATATACCACTCATGAACATGTCACTCATTAACATGTTACTCATTTACATATCACTCATTAACATGTCACACATTAACATGTAACGCATTAACATGTTACNTCAACATGTCACACCTCAACTTTTCACACATTAACGAAACATCTGATCGAGAAACATTTATAAAATACTTCACTACGCAAAATAGGTTAATTACATTGCATCGCTTGCTACTGTAAACCTTGACAAAAATGTAAACCATACAAAATTGCAGAAGCCATCTTGACACCACCCGACTCACTGGCATGAGCCTGCTAGGTCACTTCACATGGAAGATGGCACCAGTTGACTGGACCAGGGCGAAATTTCCATCGATGTTTCTGTTTGTTTAAAACTTAAAATGAATAAATTTCAGGCTTCTCTGATACCATGAATTTCCTTTCTACTCGATCTTTGTACCACTCGGTATTTATGATCTTGCCTCTGCATGAAACCTAATAAACGTGAATAAGTAATCGCACAACCTAATCAGCCTTACCTCATTTTGAAAATATTAATTTGTTTTCGTTGTTACTTAGCATTCTGCATGTGGATGGACATACCTAATTTTTGTATATACCTATCTGTGTTTTATCCTAATTGGAGCTGTATTGATTAAAAATGTAAAATTACCGTGCAATCTCTCAAACAATTGAGAGATTTTAGTATTCAGTGACCGCCGCACTTATTATATAGAGTCAATACTACAGAAAAAAGTGAGAATATATCTAGAGTAAGAAAATATATATATATACAAAATAAATATATGTAAAACTCTCGTGCGTTTCAATAGAACAATGTGTCAATTCCTGAACTGGGCTTGACGGATTGGACGAGTTTTGCATGAATTTATTAGTGAAACACGACAAAGTTAATAATAAATTTTTCGGATATTTTTATTCCTTAAAATTACGAGGAATGATGTTAAATTCGTTACCGGCCATTCTGTGGTGAATAAATTCAGTTCCTGGGTCTTTGCTGAAGATCATATACGGAATAAATATCTAGTAAGGAGCCTAACCATCAGCATTGCAGTTTTGAAAGTATAACTTAGATGAACAGATTTACATTTATATCAAAATTTAGACCGATGTAATAATTATTAAAAATTCAGGCAAACAGAAATGGAGTCGGTCTTATATTATGGGTGTGATGAAACCTCACCGTTGAAGTGTGGCAAGCATTTAAAGCTAACGACATCAGCAGTCGCCTCGTGCGACTCAACTCAATGGATCCGGTCACGAGCGACAACGCAACCTTAGTTGTGACTTCCTCTGTCTGTACCTAATTCCTCTGTCTGCACTATATTCCTGTGTTTGTACTTAATTCCTCTCCATGTACTGTATTCCTCTGTCTGTACACAATTCCTCGGTTGCATTTAATTTCTCAGTCGGTCCTTAGTTCTTCTGTTTGGATTTAATTCCTCGATCTGTCTGTACTTAATTCATCTGTTTGTATTTAATTCCTCTGTCTGTACTTAATTTTTCTGTTTGTACTTGATTACACCGTACTTAATTACTCCGTACTTAAAAACTCGGTACTTAATTTCTCTGTCTGTAATTAATTCCTCTCCCTGTACTTTGTTCCTCTGTTGGTTCAAAATCTCTGCGAATGAGTTCAAAAGACCTCAGGGGCAACTTGCCTAAACTGTATTTGTAAAAACGACGTTTCGGGTCTGGTAAAAAAAATCATTGAATCCCCGTGACAAAGTAGAAGGCCGGCGACGATAAACATCTTGGCGCCACAGGGCATGAACAAACGAGGTATCGGCTAGATAAACAATCGTGAGTAAAGAATCTCCCTGATTGAAATGAATACGGCCTTACAAACTTGTATCTGAGATTTTACCTTGGCCTTCAGTAGAATTATCGCAAAGTCTGAGCATAATCGAACTCTGATTGATTTCACGTGGAACTTGTACGTATCATGTGTCTTAATGGGACGTTTAAAATGATACGACGGAGGAAAGTTTTAATCAAATTTGTGCAGTATAGTGAGACAGAACTAATTTGGTCTGTGCAATGAGACAGCGTACAACAAATGTGTGCTGTGCAATGTTACAAATCCAACTTTGCTATGTAATTGGACACAGTTAATTTTTTGATACTAATGACGGTAATGAACATTGGTCAAATTTGCGTCGGTAATTTTACTTACAAACCAAAAGAGGGAAACTGGAATAATTATAAAAATTCTTACCTGCTACAGGTACTGGACATTTACAGTGAGCAACTACAAGTACAAATGGAAGAGAGAAATCTTCCCGCCATATCAAGGCCTATTCAAATGGGTCATAATTTCAAATTCGGCACCAATTCGGCATCTCAACACAAATAACAGGGGACGACAACAACGAAAGAAGATTGTGTCGTCTATAGAAGTAAATTAATTATCTTATAGAGGCAGATAATTCTAAGAATAGAAGTAGATTGTTTTGTCTACAAAAGTAGATTACATCATTTACAAAAATAGATTGTTTAGTCTATAGAATTAGATTATCTTGCGAACAGATTTAGACTATTTTACTCTATATTCATGATAACTCGCATGGCTAGGAGCGTACGAGTCAAATAAGTACAGCGCGCGGCTGGTCCCGCAGTACGGCAGATCGAGGCCGCTTAAAGGTGCCATGCCATGCCGACGACACACGCCATGCAGCTCTAGACGGAGCAATGTGCAGTGCTCAAATATATTTTCAAATATATTTATAAATAATATTTGCATTCGATTATAATGTCATCTAAAAGATGTGATGATTAGTGGCTATGATGGAAATATGTAAAGGGAATACTGGACTGCAGTACTGAAGTCCTTATTGATGAATTGAATTTCGGCCTTGCGTCGCCTTGGTTGATGGTAACGTCGAATTTATCACATGGTAGATGTAATATTATACAGGAATTTATTACAAAAATTAAAAGTTCCACATTAACACTACCAAATAACTGCATGGAAGTACATATGAATAAATAGATTTGAAACCTTCTAGTTATCCTTAATTCAGTAGCCATTTAAATTCATGATCATATTCAAATGATAATTGCAAAAGCATTAGATAATATATATATGTTTAATTATTGCCTCCCCCCACCCCACCGCCCAATCTATCAAAAGACTGGCTTTCAACGGCATTTACTCATGAATTTTATATTCAATCGTGCAAAGTGATCATAGAAAAGACCGGTGTTTGTTTAATTAGGCCCAGAAGCCATTGCGACTGGTCAAACAAGTATATTATTTTAAATAAAATCGAGCGATTAAAACTAATTAAGGATATTTTACATTTAATAACTTAGCTTTCCCACATTTTCGAGGTTCGCTGACTGCCTGCTCCAGCTGATCAATGTTTAGGAAATAATTCGAGAAAAATCATATAACATTTAACACTGAATACTCGGGCCTGTTATTGAATGATGCTAGTTTCTCAAAATTTATTGTTCCGCTTAACATCGCAATTGAGTGTGATAAAAATTGATAAAATTCGATTGAGCAAAAAATTAAAATTCGATTGAGCAAACTCCATGAGGTCAATAATACTACAAATCTTACATAGGTGTAAAATAATTAAATTATGGGAGGTTAGATATATTTAGGTTTACCGAGGCTCGAAGGTATATTGCATCAATCGCGTATTTAATGATGCGTGTCCGTAAATTGCGATTTCAGTCTTCTGTATTATTAATTAAAATTAATTCAAATTGACATTTCAATGAGTGGTAGTTTAAGAAATTAGCGATTAAGGCGATGTCGTTTAATTATTTAACAATCAGATTATCAGAGATGAAGAGTTACTAACTGAATAACCATGTATCAGAGACCAATTAAGAGTATCAGTACCCACGAATCACAGACATCCGAGTATGTTGCCCTACTCACCAGCATCATTCGCCTGATGTGGGCAGGCACGGCGCTCCTATACCGCGTGATGAATGTCCGGGTCGCCTTAGGGTTGTCATCGCGCCACTTCCACACAGCCCGTCCCAGGTTGTGCACCAGCTGGACCAGTAGGGTCTCCTGTAGGCTGGGCACTACCCGAGAAAAACCCTTGGAGCCTCGTGACGCTGGAGCGTCTGACCGCAGTGTGGGGCTGGTGGAGGAAGGCGGTCCCGAGCAAATATTTGGCGGGGAAACTGGGTTGACTGAGCCACGGCCTGTGGTCAAGTTAGGCGAAGAGGTGGACACTCGGGAACGAGAAAACAGAGCTCGAGAATTGGGAAGGTCGTTGTGATTAAGAGATAAATTGCTAGAAGATGAAAAAATAGCGGGAATATTCCTCGTTGAAGCTGATAAAGGACTGACGTTATGGACAATATTTTCTGCAGAGAACGCAGAATTCGTCGATTGGATTCTATTTTTATGTAAACTGATAGCACCCCGGGCATGTGTGTGATGTTCTTCACGAGCTGAGCTACGGTGAGTAACTATGATTTCTTTATAGGAATCTTCAGTGTTCGAGTGCAAATCTGAATCACCATTTCTAAATGACTGAACATTTTTATCACTAGGCTCCATATCATCTGCCGATTCGAAACTTTGGCCTTTCATTTCCGCAGGCTCATTCGTCATTTTCATCGAAATAACGGTTCTACTTTCCGTCGTTTCATCACTGGAGCAGCTCTGTCCAAGCCTTCTTGTAATTTTCAAGCCATTTTGAGACGATTCATCAGACAAAACATTTTGTTTTATCTTGTCTCTGGATGTGTTATAAGATCCCGCATCATGAGGAGCAGTTCTCATGTTCAAACATGCGGGCCCAACAGACGCCAACAAAGAAGGTGACAGCGAATCGTGCAGCTGAATATGATTGCGCTCATCAAGGTCATTCTGTGAGGTAGTAGGAAGATTGCTGGTACCCATCTTTGACGTAAAATTGACTTCCCCAAACCGGCAGATGCAGATTATGGCACCATAGGTGTTGATAATGGCACACTTTTCTCACGTGATATTGTCACAGACAACAACGTTATCAATTGATAGTGTTAAATTCACACCGGCGTAATCATGCAAAATAATTCATTTCTTTTGGTCTAAAGTTGAAAGTAATTGTCATAACTGCAAGAGATCAAGCCCTGTAAGGAATGAAGCGAATAATCACTACAGAAAAACGAAAAAAGTAATGCTTCATCTTCTGCTGAACATTTGTCCACTGATGTAAAATTACAACGCTACATAATCGCACCGAACGTAGGCACACGTATAATTGTACCTATAAAGTTCGACATGGGTTAAGGGACTCTTAACCCTTTAAATGCACGAACAATTATACAGTTTTCATGTTACTAGTTCATTAATTGTTATAATAATTCTGCAATACAAAAACTCGAAAAATAAACAAATCGTCATTCGTCATGTAATTCAAACAGTGGATTGGAATTTTTTATTAAAAGAGAGAAAAATATTACAGGAAATAGTCCGATTTACATATTTCATATCTAATCATTTTTCCACCTTCGTCTTAATACGTCATGTCCGTCTTGAAATTGCGATTGAAAAATTGGATCATATCTGTCCTCAAACAATGGTTGATGTAGGTCTTGATACCGTTATTTAGGTTCGTCTTTGATGTAGTGGTTTATGTCTGTCTTGAAATTATGGCTCATGTTCCTCCTTGAGGGTCGGTAATTAGTTTCTGAATATGATGGGGTGAGGAGTGGTATAGGCTCTTTTGAATTTAAGAAAGCGGCATGTTTAAGCCCAAAATGATATAGCTATGAAAACTGCATGAAATAAACTCTGATCAATATTTGGATCTGATACGAAATATTGGAACAATAATTAACCGTTGATTCAAGCAAGAGTTATGTAAAAAGTTCAAGGTCACTCCACGGTTAATTTTCTATTGAGTGTTAAACTACGGTTTGATTACAAGTAAGGAAAAATTGTGACTGCCTCCAGATTTAGATTCCGATTTCTAATTCACATCACTCCCAACATGCCGACATGCGTCTTATGCCCATTTATAATCGGTTTAATTGCCTCCGGTGCGCGGGTAAAACGTACGTGTAGATGTATTAATCATGAAAGATAAACTTGTGAGGAATCTCACCCTGAAATATTTTAGTATTCTTAATTGAAGTAATAAATTTCCATTAACGCAGTTCTGACGTCATATTTATGAAGTAATAAAGCACTTGAGACCAACTTATCGTTTTTAACGCCTTCTCATGTACAGAGAAGGTCAACGATAAGGCAATCTTAACACGTTCTGAATGTTTTTACGTTCATAGAAGGTCAACGATATGATAATATTTACTGGTTCTATACATGATTTTATGTTCGTACAAGGTTAAAGATTAGATGGTCTAAGAAAAATAATCGCACCAACCCCAAGCAAATTTCTACCACAGTTATAGATTCAAATTAGCAAACCCAAGCGATAAATCAACGTGGACGGACGATAGAAAAAGCAATGCGCACAATAACATAGAACCTGCGTAAATACACTGCAACAAAAATCTATATAATTTATACACTACAATAATGATCTATTTAAGTTATTTAACTTATCTTACGGGCGAACGTTTATTTTTAGTTAAACCGTCATGATTTAATAGATAAAAATTGTCTACTATTTTCATCCATGTTCAGTCATGTTTTATGTAAACTGTTTCAAGTCTTTATAGTCTCATAAAAACTCGTTGTATCGATTAACAGTCGACTAGATTGAAGAATATGAGATGAAACATTACTTTGACAATCAACCATAATTGCGTTTGTCCATTATGATAATAAATGTTATTATGGTTATAATATTACAATTATACGAAGGTCGCTCGCTGTGTTCGGCCAGTCATAACTCATCATATTATTTTGGTCATATTATATCAATCAGAATAAGTGCAGACAAATTGATCTGCCTACGCAGAGAAGAGGATAGATAAAACAAGAAGAGGATAGATAAAATAAGAAGAGGATAGATAAAATAAGAAGAGGATAGATAAAATAAGAAGAGGATAGATAAAATAAAAAGAGGATAGATAAAATAAGAAGAGGATAGATAAAATAAAAAGAGGATAGATAAAATAAGAAGAGGATAGATAAAATAAAAAGAGGATAGGTAAAATATAGCAGGGAAGCTGAACGATCACAGCGCTGCCACGGTCCCCTGGTTGATATGTGAAGGGTGGTATATGGATAAGTATTTAGATGTGCATTTTTCATTCAATTGACAACATTTATTTAACCTTTCTGTTTTTTTATACATACAATGAATCACATTGATGGATGTTAGGAAAATTTTGAATTTTAAAAGCAGGAGCCCTAATGATATGTTCGCAGCATCCGTTATCAAGATATTTTACGTGAGATTTGGGCGTTAAAATATGAAAAATGCAATGGAGATGAAAGGTAAATCCTTATAACCTAAAGAAATCAAATAACAAATTTTTGCTAGTTACAAAAAAATACCTCTTAATTTAGAGGTGTAGGAGATTATACCATTCACAAATATACTCATGTTAATGTTCGCATCCAAAGCGAGATTTTAAATCGTTACGAAGGCTGAAAAATGATGATGTCTCATGGAAAATTCTTCATTATTTTTAAAATTGTAAATCCCGACAAATTAGCTCTCACTGAGGAAGGCAACTTTGCTGTGGGCGAAGAGCAAGCAGAAATAAGAACTCTATTCTGTAGCACTCGTTGCCAGTTGTGATATTTCAGGGAATGAGAAGGTCAAGGCATATAAAACATGAATCAAGTCGTACGTTGAAACATTTTCATTCATAGCGTATTGAATGCCAAATACTCTGTTGCAGTGAACGCAATATCTTTTTTCACTTAAATCTAGTTTTGGGATGTCGTACTGAGCTTTTAGTTTATTCTTCATTTGTCGGCAGCCACAGTCAAGAGTATATAAGCCTTGAGAAGAAACAATACCAGACGCGCTAAAAGTGCAAAAATGTTCAATTTGCATACTAGTAAAAATACCTTATAACCGCGCATATATTATGGTATGTACTTGTTTAAAAAATTTTAAAGTTCTGCATATTTCATGCTTGCCGCGAAAGGGTTTAGCATACCGTATTGGCTCATGTAAGATCAGAAAATCCAATTATCGACAGTCAACATTACCGCTAAACAGCAACACTTATTAAGCTTCGACTCTGACAACAAAAATTAAATCCAAAAAAGTACCTCGATGACAATACCGGAATAAGAGAGTTGAACCATTCTGTTCTGTCAGGAATTACTCCTCCGATACTTCTCATAGAACAATCTTAATTGTTCATTTATCAGATCAATATTGTTGTACAGCTGATCATCATAAACCTTAGGCAAAATTATTTAAACTCATGACACTTACAAATTTCTTTTGAAAATTTGGCTCGGGTAAGTTAAGAAACGACACCGTTTCTTTCAATGGTCGCTCGTCAACTTCTCAATGCTCTGTGTCATAGGATTTCAATGGCTCATCTAAGCTCTAGAGTCGAAATCGAAGTACCTAACTTAGTTAAACGTCCGCACTTAAAACCATCATTCAGCAACTAAATCAGTATTCTATTTTGCTACGAACGTTTAAAAGCTGCCGTTCCTTATGCCGGCAACAACATCACATAAGTAGAAACAGTGCTGCCCAGTCAAGTTTTGAGAGCAACCGACAATGACATCCACACACCCCAGCTCGCCGCAGCACACTGACTGAATTATCAAGGAGGGGACGCGTTGCGCGCTTGGCACTTGATGCCTGACACCATGGTTGAATTAATACAAGGTTGACCCACGGCGACGACGATTTTTTCGCCGTTCTGCGCATGTCTCGTGTGACGTCAACGTGGGCCAAAAATGTAAACAGTGGAGATCAACAGAGATTTTTTTATACACACATTAATATTATTAGATCATGAGAAGCTTCACACCACAGATCGTACTTTTGATTATGATTTATTCTCGAATGTGCCTTGCAAGCGTTGTCGCTGTTCTGTATTTTTTAGTACTCTCTAGTAGTTCGTAGAAAAAAAACATTTTCAGAATTATAACACGAGTAGAGTAAACTAAGTATATTTATATTTGCGTTGAAGAATATGCCATGTTTGGCCAGTCGCTGATTCTCGTAATGTTGTTGAAAGTAGCCTGATAGGTGGTATAGCATAGCGGTGTCAGCATTAACCCATTACCGCCCGATTTTCTGGGTCAAAAATCACAAATTTAACTATTCCGGTTTTTAGACTCACCTTAAAGCTGACATTCTTACCAGTCTAACGGTACCAAAATCATCTCTGTACGTTGATTTATGCCTTGACGACAGATCGCTAAAGGATTAGGGGTGTTGGAGTTCTTTCAAATTTAAATGTAAAGCTGACATTCTGACCTATACAACGGTACCAAAATCATCTCTGTACGTTGATTTATGTCTTGCCGACGGATCGCGAAAGGGTTAGGGCTGGGGGAGTTCGTTCACATTTAAGATAGGCGAAAATTACCGGCCGGGCAGATAAATAGACGGTCTGAAGGCGCTGATCTTTAGTTACCCGGCTGCTGTCGTGTGTGATGGTGCTCATGCAGTCGTTCCCACCATCCTTGACTGAATTTCAGCTCCAGTAACGTCTAGTCTTGTATCCACGCCACCTTGAATGCCTATTTTGAGGCGCTCGGGACTTTGTCGCGCTCTACTGATCATTCACACTTAATGTCACTGCAGACCTATCTCCTAGAGTTTTTAAGCTACAGCAATGAGAGATATACCGTTCGATTTGAAAATAAATTATCTAGAGATTGGTCGTAGCGTTTTTTTCAATTTCGTTATAGTTTTGAAAATATTTTGAAAAAGGGGGGGGGAATAAATTTTTTTTCGAAAAATGCCCACCCCACGAAAAATGAAAGAAAACGTGAAATTCTTAGAAAACCGGTGTTTATTTAAAGGCGACTTGCAAGTCCGATTTGGCGGTTAAGGGTTTACTCTTAAGTAAGCCGTGGAGCCAACACCCAGCCTCAGCATGCGATAAGTTTATTCAGCCACAGACCAAGAAGCCGCAGAATACGATGGAATCCCGTAATCCAGAACAGTAACACACTGATGAAAGATAATAACGCTGTAGGTCTTCAGCCAATACTCAAGCATGCTCTTTCATAAGCAGGCAGTTCCACATCCGGTTGCACATACTCCGGCCTAACCTCTTCTGGCCTAACATATTCACGCTATCCCGAGTGGGTCCTCATGTGCCGAATAAGTCACGAAAAATTTGCCAGGAGGTCAACGATTTTTTTTTGTTCGCTAATTCTACAACGGTGGAAGATAGATTAGAATTGAAAATTTTGATCTCACTCCACGATGAAGTGCTAAGGACTAATCCTCTAGATGTGGCTCGTGAGTCCGGTGGTTTGAGACCACAGCGAGCTGTGGTTGTTCTGCGATGTTAAGAAACGGCGACAGGCCTACGGCCTAATAAACGCTGAAACCGCTATTATTAGTATTAGTATTAGTATTAGTATTAGTATTAGTATTAGTATTAGTATTAGTATTAGTATTAGTATTAGTATTAGTATAAGTATTAGTATTAGTATTAGTATTAGTATTAGTATTAGTATTAGTATTAGTATTTGTATTAGTATTAGTAACATTAGTATACCCTACTTACTCGTGGTGAAGCCCAACACGGCCATCCATGGGTACGCGCCCAAGGGTACGGGGGTGCCTCCATGTATCTTGTCCCTGGAGACCGCGTGACCGCAGTAGGAGGGCAGCAGTGCCTCGCTGGCTGCCGAGGGTGGAGGACTGTCGGAGGGGCCTGCGCGGGATGTAAGAGTCTCTGGTGTCGAAGGGCAGCACACCTGAACAGATAATAATACGACTACAATAATTTATTATTTTGTATAAAAAATATGTTATAACTTGGACCGATACACCCACGATAGCATGCTACGTCTGGAGTCTAACCAGCGGCTGAGAGATGTTGAACGTTTAGTAAGGGATAGTATCATCTAATAAGCTCGTGTTCAGGATTAATTTATAAATGATACGATAAATCAATACGAAAAATTATATTGAATTTCTGCAAGTAATATAGGGAGTAAAGCTTTTATACACGTAATGTAGCTGTGCCTTATAATACACATGAAGTGAATAGTAAAATGCATTAGTCCGATTTCTATTTATAAAAAAATGGCAACGGGCATTCGTTCCGAAAATCGAATCGGAAAAAATTGGACCTATGCGACAAAAATAAACAGACCTTCATGAAATTTCACAACAAAAATCTTCCAAAAATGATTTCTTTACAAAAATTATATATAAAATATAAGAGTTCCGCTCAAACGCTCATATCTATGAGTACCATCGTTATACTTAGTAAAAGAGCTGCAACGGTCTCCCGAAAATGCTATACATAGCGCATGCTTGGAAGCATTAATTGTCTATCGCCACTGAACATTTGCGATTCATATATGAAGCTAATTTGTACTACAATGTTGCTTTAACAACATGAAGTTGGACAAATAACTTCATGTCTTTTTTCCGTACAAGCGCTGCGGTCGACTACGTACAACAAAGATTGAATTATCTCAGGCCACGAGCAGTGTCCGTATGACACAGGACAAAACATTGAAATAAACGACACATAACGTGACAATAATTAATGACGTTATTAATTTACGTTAATCAATTATAAATGTGCACAACAAACGGCACATCACACGACATAAATTAATTATCCTTAGTACATTACCTTTGCTCGCCTTTTTTCGAACCCACAACCCAGAGACCGTAGTCGGTTCAGTCCGTCCCGGGTTGGACGTCGCAGCAAAGCATTCAGTGCAGGACACTGCCCCAGTAGGACGCAGGAGGAGCCACTCTCGCAACCTCGGTTCACTGGACCATAAATATTTTATTTTTTTTTAATTTTAAGATCAGATTTATAAAAAAGCAGAAATAAATTTGCTAAGATTCCAATTATTTTTTTTTAATTTAGGCTCAGATATATGATATATGTATACAGACAGATACGGCTAGAAGTTTGCGGCAATTCTATCTTGATTTCGTTTCTGAATTTTAAGTTTAGATTACATAGTTGACGCTCCGAGTACAAACGCGTCCAAGGAAAAACTAGATAAAGCTACGGATATATTTATGTTCAGACTTGAAATATCGAACCTGGTGGAAGTCTATAGTAGCTATTTCAAACTAACGTCAGTTTTGGAGAGATCCTGTCAAAAGACCTGTTTTTAAATCTCCTGTTTTGCGTCCAAAGATCGTTGTTTTTAAATCTACAAAAGACCTGTTTTGCGTCATGCAACCCAGTCAAATTTTTTCATTAAAAACATAATTGACATAGATTTATCATAAAGAGGGATTCTCTTGAATCAGCAAAATTTGTTAGTAAAATTGGAAGCTTATTTGAAACTAATGTGACTAAATTAGACTAAGAGTGAATATCTCATCTCCATGAAATTGCCGATTTTCAATGCGAAATGTCATCTATATGTTCATTCGATTTATTGATGCATCGCATCGATAAATAACTCAGTAATTCACTCTTTATTATCTTTCTAAAAATATCTTTAATGCTTAGAAAAATAAGTACTGGATGTACATGGATGCAATAGACCTCTGCTATACATACCTTGTCGTGTAAGTCTCGTGGCGCGAGAGGAGCCGTGCGCACCATACGAAGTCACTATCAGCAGCAGCACGGCAGTGCAGTGCAATATGACATTCATTGCACGGCGTTTTGAGATAATTACTGTCATCATTCAGATACTATCTAATTAATTATTACATCTGCGGTGAAAATATAAATGGCTGAGAGACCTATACTTTTTTACCAGCATTTTTTTTAGCAGGTTTGCCCACCAAAAAGTCCACTAAAGTTTAGTGTTGAACGAATCCTAATCTAAAACTTGCTTTATGTATCATCAAAGTGTTAAGAGTCCTGTTCGGAGGGTCAGATCAGAAGTATACTTCTACATCAGAAGCAACTTTTAGATCAGAAGGATCATTTTAGATCAGAAGGATCATTTTAGACCAGAAGGATCTTATTAGATCAGAAGGATCATTTTAGACCAGAATGATCTTTTTAGATCAGAACAATCATTTTAGATCAGAAGTATCTTTTTAGATCAGAAGTATCTTTTTAGATCATAAGGATCTTTTTAGATCCTAAGTATCTTTTTAGATCAGAAGCATCTTTCAATCAGAAGTAGCCTACTGTAGATCAGAGGTATCCTTCTAGATCAAAAGTATCCTTTTGGATCAGAATTATCCGCTTAGATCAAAATTATGCATCTACAACAGAAATATATCCTGGATAAAAGTTCAAGGGTATTACTGGAAGCGTCAGGATTTCGGAAGCAATCGTTACGAGATTTGTAACAATTTTGTTTCTAAATAAGAAAAAATGAAATGCTTGAGCACAAAAATCTATTTGACACGACCAAAAAAAATAACTTGAGCTGATCGACAGGTTGAAAGTCGAGATTATGGTATTGCCGACAGACGCTACGCCGTATCATTGTGAGAGCAAACAGGGAATTGCGTTATTCCAACGAATGTTCATCAGAGTTGACGTTAAGAGTTGTTTGTAAACTTCAGACTATGGCTGCAAAATCCTTCATCATGACATAGATGTCAGTAAAAAAAATGCAAGTTACGTACTTAGTTCCGATAAATTATATGGAACGAAGCACCGTGGTAGGAGATATTGTTCAAGTCTGAATTTTTATTGCTTCCAATAAATTAATATTCTCGATCGATGTCCTTGTTATTCAATAGTGACTTTATTCATAATTTTTCAGTGTATTTTCCTAGTCACCGTCAACTCGATCGCATCTAGGATAATCCGTTCATTTAGGATAGCGAGAATTGCAATCCTAAGTCTAGTCCAGTCAATACTCAAGTCCAGTGCATCCTTATAAGTCCAGTCTAGACAGATATAAACGTATTTATATACAATTAATTACTTATGAAACCACCAGATTATTTTCCTGTATCAGAATGTCGACCTTCTGTCAGGGTAAAGTAACGTTGCTGCCAACGACTGTAGTGCGATCAGATATGGGCTACAGACACATTGCAAAAGTACCAATTAGAGTTTAAAGAAAGGCGTTATTAAAAATTTCATCAAATATGGCAGGGGTTTTCCTAGCGTGATTGTGAAATTCATTCGACTGAAAAGTGGAAACGGTAATTTTTTCAAATTCGAACCCTAAAAATGTCGTAAAAACCGTTAAACCATTAAAAAAGACCGTTTACGACATAATAATTATATTCCACGAGTTTAACTTCGTAATAACTCATGCGTCGAAAAGAGTTCATGATACTGAGACTCTGATGTGACACAAATTAGCTGTCACGTACGAGGCAGGCTTCCTCGTGGCCCAGAGACCTGACAGGTCGCGGCCCACTGAAGTAAGGCTCCACAGTCCCATGAGGTCAACCGCCAACGGTATCAGGGTCATGTCAATCATGCGCGTCCTGCCGTGACATCAGCCGTCCTGACGTGTCTTTAACCGTCCGCATTGACTTTCCAGTCCTGTTGTGACTACAGCCATTATACGTTAATTTCTACCGGGCCCTCATGATTTAAAGCGACCTGAACTGACTTTAGCTAAACTGTCAAGCCTCCAAACGACCTACCCTGACTTATGTCGATTTTCTACTGATGACATCAGAATCTATTTCAGTGCTCTGCAACAGTCAAGACTTCCTGTATAATTGTCTGGTGATTAGTATGCAATATTTTACACTTCAAAACTAACATGCTACCCATAAATTTTGTAAGAAGTATGCTCTATGTTTGGCAAACCTAACTGTCTCGTTGAATTAATGTCATGCTGTCATTGAAGTAACTCTACTAATAAAGAGAGCAAGGCAAGTGTTGCTTCTACACGTCAAAGAAAATATCAACAAGGTCCCCTGGCTCGATGAAAAGTCGTCTGAGATTTTAGGAATTTTTTATTTCCCTTGAATATACTGTTTTTACCGCTTCAACTCTACTAGTTGTTAGCTGCATGGAATTGTGTACGGATGATACTACAACATACACATTAGTAAAATGTTTGATGGCTTTAAAATACTAATAATTGAATTAATTGGGGGAGGGGGTGAATAATTAAACGATTTTTTGCTGTACGAATCACAAGCAGTAATCAAGTTGAATGCCTGCACTCATGGCCGCCGGTCGGTAGACCAGCCTTATTGGTAATGTGCTTATGACGTACGGGCTTAATTGACGCTTAACGACAATAAAATCACGCGATGCAAAATGAATAATCAAGAATTTAGGTGGAAAAATTACGATTGAAAATTAATGCACCGAGCGAGAATCTCGTGTAAGTCTCGAAAGTACAGTTGCAAGGTGATCTTGACAGGTACTGACAAATGTAAAGTAATCCACCTTGGCATGAATAATGAACAGCAAGATTAGAAAATGAGAAGACACGGTTGCCATGACAGAGTGATGATGTCGAAGTCGACAATGGAAAAAGGTTTAGTAGTTAATGTCGACAACGAGTTTAAATTTTCTAAGCATATTGAAGCACAAGTTGATGAAGCCAATAAACGACTTGGATTGGTCAGACGCTCCTACGAGTACATAGATGCTGAAGCGATGAAACTGTTGTTTGTTGCTGTCATGCGTCCGAACCTAGAGTTTGAAAACGCCGTGTGGTCACAAAATCAAGACAAGGACAAAAATTTAGTCGAGAGTGTTCAAAAACGGGCAACAAAGATTATTCCGGGATTAAAAGGCAAGCCTTATGAAGAAAGGTTAAAGATAATGAAGCTTCCAAGCTTCTGTTGTCGAAGTCTGCGTGGTAACCTCATTGAAGTATACAAGTTTACCCACGGTTTATTCAAAGTCCCACAAGGATTACTAGAATTTGAAACAAGAACCAACACCAGGGGTCACGGCAATATACTAAAAAAATGGGTTGTAACACATCCACGCGCCAACATTTCTTCTCGTTTCGAGTCACCGACATGTGGAACAGTCTCCCTGATAGTATCATTGACGCTCCGAGTATGAACGCATTCAAGAACAGATTAGACGAAGCTATATGCAGGAGCATATGTTCAGTCTTGAAATGCCTAGCAAATTACGGACCAGGCAATAAGTCCAGCAGCTATCTCAATCAATCGTCAGTTGTAGAAAGATCGGGTTCCAAAGGTCGGATCCCTTGTTGAATCAAGTTACGAAAACTACATGAATCGGCAACAGGCCATGAGCCTATTTCTTCAGAGCCGTGACTTCATTCTATTCTAGGTTAATTCACCAGAATCGGCGACGAGGTAGGGCAGGAATAGAGCAATGAATTGCTTGTTCGACACCACTACAAGCTGTGAATGTTCTGCGAAGTGACCACTACAAGCTGTGAATGTTCTGCGATGTGACCACTACAAGCTGTGAATGTTCTGCGATGTGACCACTACAAGCTGTGAATGTTCTGTCTCTTATACACATCTAGATGTGTATAAGAGACAGGTCTTATGTATTCTTAAATGATGCAGATATTTTAAATGTGATTCATGAATAAGTTTCATCAGTGTTCAGACCAAAGAATGATATTCATCATAATTGGAAATTGGAATTACACAATATAGATAGCCACCAAATAATTAGGGTAGAATTCTGGGAATGTGCGTTCATATATTCAAGATTGATGATCATTGATCCAGCCTAGTAGTACTAGGTAGTGGTAGCATCATCACTAGACACTAGCATGATCAGGCAATGCCAATCAGGTACAAAATAGCTATTAGGTAAATATGAAATAAAAAATGAAATATATGCTTGAAAAATGCGCAATTAAATTTTATTTTATATTTACCTAATATTTTATACCTGATTGGCATTGACTGATCATGCTACTACTACTAGGCTCAGTAGTAGGCTGGATCAATGATCATCAATCTTGAATATATGAACGCACATTCCCAGAATTCTACCCGAATTATTTGGTGGCTATTCACATTCACATATGAATGATTCATATGTGCTAATAATGTGCACATAGCACATGTTTGTACGGTACCTATATTACCCCTTGCCCCTGGGTTCCCCTGCCAAATTTCACCTAGCAGCACGGCCAGCAGCCCAGCACCAATCACCAGGATGCACAAATAGCTGAAATAGGCTATTCTAATAGTAATATCCAACTATGAGGATTCTTTTTCTTTGATATCAATTAGTATATCATCATCATTCATCAATAACTTTATTACCTAGGTAATTTTACATATCTGGTAATTTTCCTCACTTTCTTAGCCCCTAACATGAACACAAAACAGTATTTTGATTTAATCTCTAGGCATGCCATTAGCCTTACCAGCTGCCTTCGTAGCCTAGGTGCCAGTGTCACATCAAATACAAGGATCTGATTCTACTCACGTCACAGTCTCGCTGAAACATGTACAACATCGTAAATAAATTGAGAAGTATCAGATTAAAACTGACATAATTAATCAGAGATAATTAGACATTACCTCACTTGATATAAGCGGGATTCGTTGAGGAGAGCTTCATTTTTTATGGTCATCTTCTGAATGATCGGACAGGAACTCCTTGCCGATTACGGCCTCTCACTCTCAGCAAGTCGGCCCTGTTTGTTTGTTTCGAATTTATTCGTTTTACACGAAGGAATTTCTCAATAAGCCCTATATACTTAGAGACAGACTAGCTGAAGCTACTGGTATTTTTATAATGATTTTGAGGAGGGCAATATTTTTTAAATTGATCTCAAAATCGGCACAAAAACAACGTCTTTCGCGACAGTATTTACATTTTGGGCCCACGGTGACGTCACAGTCGGAACAACAAACGACATCCGCAAAGAGCAGCTGCGCGTGGGTCAACCTTGTATTAATTCAACCATGCCTGACACCACGTAATGCAGTTGGATCCTCTAGCTAGGATGCAACAGCGTTGCTT